CTCAGGGCAGGTTCTGGTGGGCGAAGGCGGGGCTGGAGTGGGGAGATCAAACACGGCACTGCTTGGGCTGTCTCTGCTCCAGTGATGGGGGGCCCTGTGTGTGTCCCCTCAGCCACCCTCCAGCAAGATGCAACAGTTTTCCCAACCCAGAGCCGAACATCCCATCCCCAGCCACGGTGGGAGCAGGGATTTTTGTGTGTCCCCCCGTGCTCCCCATTCCCAGCACCTCCAGAAGCACATTTTGGGGTCCAAAGCACTTCCACAGAACCATGGAATGTTTGGGCTGGAAGGAACCTTAAAGCCCATCTCATTCCAACCCCTGTCATGGGTAGGGACACCTTCCACTAGACCAGGTTGCTCCAAGCTCCATCCAACCTGGCCTGGAACACTTCCAGGGATGGATTTTCCGATGGCACGCAGCTGCTTTTCCAGGCTGGATCCGGCCCGTGTGTCCCTGCACTGTGCTTTGCTGCCAGCTGGGGCACAGAGGGGATGAGCAACAGGACCGTGCAGCCCATGCTAAAATTCCCCAACCCTATTCCCAAAGCATCAAATCATCCTGGAGGCATTTGACACCAGCAATTCCTCCCCCCACAGGGGAAAAGAGCCACCCCAAAGCCCCACCACCCCCACAGCCAAATGCTCCTGGAGCAGGGACCTTCCCACTTCCCGGTGCAGGCAAGGTGAGTAAATATTTAATAAGGAATGAATGATTAATTGGAACTGGCAAACTGAAGCAGAGTTGCAGGGGCCTCTCTTCCCCGAGCTGATCCTTACAAATGAGCGTGCCGAGGATCCAGGGTTCATTTGCTCCATCATCAGCTGCTAAATAGTTCAAAATCATCCTGCACATCTCCCAAACATGTTGTTATTAGAATAATAAGCCTCCTTCTCGCCATGAACTTCCCCAAGCATTCCCAGCTAATCACCTATTGATTACAACATTATTAAGGTATTTATTATCATAAGGGATTGCAGGGAGGGTTTTCCTCGTGCCAAAGTGTTGGAGGGAACTCCTCCAAGCTGTTCTGGGTGGTGGGACCCCGTTGCTTCCATCAGCAGCTGCAGAGGGGACAGGACTCTCCCCATGGGAATTTTTGGGGGTTTAAACAGATATCTGGGTTTATTTCCCGCCGTGGATGGTTTCCCACCCCCAGCACTAATCCCCCAAGGGTGGGGAGGAGCTCAGCCTTGCCGTGGAGCTTCCCGGGACCTCCTGGGGTATCTTATTCCCTGTGGCATCGCGGTGATCCCCGCGGGAAGAGGCCGGGGCTGGCAGGAGGTGCGTGGGAGGGAGGCAGCATGGCAAGCGCGCGGCGGAAGCGCCTTCCCTGCTGCCTCCTGCCTGATTTCTACTTCCAGTGTGCGTTTTCAATCAAAGATTTTAATAATCATTTTCCCCGCACATAATACAGCCCTGTCTTGGAGTGCTGGGGAATAATTATATACACAAAAGGGAAGGAGGGAGGGAGGGAGAGCGGGAGCGGGGAGGCTGGTGAAACAGCAGCCCGAATAAAACGGACATCTGGAATGACAGCCTTCAGGTGGGAACCGCTCCCGGGGGGCGGGGATGGAGCCTGAACCAGTGTCTGGTCACACATCACATCCTCAGGGATGGGCCAGCAGAGTGGGGCTGCCCTGGGGTCTCCCGCTGGAGCCTCCCCCCGGAGCATCCCCCAATCCTGGCTGGCTCTGGGACTCAGCATCTCTGCTGAAGCAGGGACAACCTGAGAGGAAAGGCTCATGTGAGCCAGAGCCAGCTGTGACTGGAGCTGGTGAACGGTTTTGGAGCAGGAACCATCCCTGGGTGGAAGCCCTTGTGCCCACACAGGGTGTTTATGGCTTCGGGGGTTATTTTTGGCGAGGTGGTTATGACCTGGCTGCTGCCTCCGGGTGGGTAAAGTCCTGGCACCCAGCTCCCTGTGCAAGGAGAACCTGGAAGGAGGAGGTCCAGCATCACCCAGTGCCCTCCAGTATCACCCAGTGCAGGTTTTCCAGCGCCGTGGGTGTGTCTGGTGCCCTCACTGGGCACATCCAGCCCTGCAACCTGACCCTCCAGTGATGCCCCTACCAGAGGAGGTGGCCACAGGGATGGATATTTCCAAAGCCCCCATGGTGGCTCCGTTGGAGAACACACCAATATCACAAGTGCCAGGACACTGGTGGCCTTTGATGGCCCTGACCAGCCCCACCTGGGACACCACCCCTGAGCCCACCTGAGCTCGGGGCCATCAGCCCTGCTTGTCCCCAGGCTTGTCCCTGTGTCCTCGTCCTCACTTCCAGCCAAGGAAGAGCATCACTATGTGCAAGGAAGACAACAAAAAGGGCTTATTTTTTCACTTCTTTTTCACCAAAATCTTAGAGATTACGATTTGCCAGCCTGGTGTCTGCCACGTACTTTTCTGTGTGGGCTTGAAAGAGAATTCCATGTAACCTCCTCCCATTGAGCTTGCTCTGAGTGATCCAGAGGGCAAGAAAATGAATTTCCATCCCTGGAAGTGTCCAAGGCCTGGTTGGACGGGGCTTGGAGCAACCTGGTCTAGTGGAAGATGTCCCTGCCCATGACAGGGAAGTGGAACAAGACGGGCTTTAAACCCACCCAACTCAAACCATTCTATGAATTTCCAAAGCCTCTAACACCCAAATTCTGCTGGGTTTGGGGAAAACCAGACCTCTGTTTCTCTGGAGTCTCTGACTCCTGGTTCAACCTGGTTGGACTGGTGTGATTTAGCTCCGAAGCCTGCACTGAGTGTACTGAGATTTAGGCTGTTTTGTATGAATTTGACTAATTGCTGCAGAGTTTTGTGGGTCTGTTCTAGGAGCTGGGAGAAGGGCTGAAGTTTGGGACCCACCTCATGTCTGGCTCCACGCTGACCTGGCCTTGCTGTCCCTTGATGTGGGGAGCTCTTCCAGAGCACCCACGGGACGCTGCCTGGGAGGTTACCAGTGTCTAGGCATGTGCCAGCTCCATGGAAAAAACATTTCCATGCTTTAACACTTCCTGGCACTCTCTGGAGAAGCCACCTCGTGGGGTGTGGACCCCCTCCCTGGCACAGAGCAGGGTGTCCCTGGGGTGGGGACAGAGGATGGGTGTCCTCTAGCCACCTCCTCCTCTTCTCTCCTCTGACACATGCTGGTACAACCTGACTTGGGCAGCCCACCAAGACCCTTCTGGCCCCAAGAGCTGGACAGGGACCTTGTGGAGCCACTCAAAGTTTGGTGGCAAGCACAACCTGGTCTCAGCTGTGAAATGGTTGGAGGTTGGCCCCATCCTGGTCCTTCTTATCCCTCCATATCCTCAGCAAGAGGGATGCTCATCTGATCATGGTGGTCCTACCTGGCCTTAAATTCATGGGGTCAATAGAACGGGCCAATTGCCATCATCATCCTCCCTTTGAAAGCCTGTTAATCTCCTGGAGGAGCATGAAGTGAGCTCAGGCTAAATAGAAAGTAGCTCTGCGTCCCGATTATTACTATTATGGCTTTTCCTAATCCATCAGAGATGTGTTGGAGGGGTTTTGGGCTCTGCCGATGGCACTGCGGGATTTGGTGGGGGAGCAGGAGGCTTTTTGCTTTGGGTGGCTGGGTTTGCTTTCTGCTGCTGGAAGGACTGACAAAGCCAGGAGAGAAAGGAAAATCTCTTGGGGTGCCACGGCCCGGTCGAGACCTCACAGGGACAACTTCCCCTAAAATCTCCTGGATGGAGTGGAGCCATCCCAAAGGAGGACACTGCACCGCAGGCTGGAGGAGGTCCCCTCCCTGACCACAACCACCAGGATGATGTTGGTGCACCTGCATCAGCGTTCTCTTGGTGGCACCCAGATGCCACTGACCCACACGGGGCTGCTCCGTGGTGCCCATGGCAAGTTCCTGCCCTTCCTGAGGGGTGGGGAGGTTCTGGATGCAGTCCCAGGCCATGGAGAGGACGCCAGCGCCCACCTGCCCTGTTGCCAAAGCAATCAGCTGCTCCATGCTCAAGGCTACTGCACACTTCCCATCCACCACTCCCCATCCCCTGCAGAGGTGTCCTAAATTACCAACCCCATCCCGATCCCCTTCCCCTCCAGCTTGGAGATGTGTGGCCCAAACCCTCGAGCCAGGGAAACATTAAATCCCCCATCAAAGCGTCTCTGTGGTGCCTCTGCACTGGGAAAAAACTCCAACCACACTTTGTGTGAGCACACAGATATTTCTGCAGGAGCACTGGGCCCTCTCCAGCCAGGCTACAGGACACCCAGTCACTCTGACCCCCTCTCTGTGCTGTGGGTGCTCCTCATTGCACCCAGGACTGATGCCATATTTTCAGTGCCCTCCACAATGCCAGAGGGACCCACCATCCCCTCTCTGTCCACCTCCTTGGTTTGGAAGGGGCCTGGAAAACAGTCTCCAAGGCAGAGCAGAGTGGACTGTGACACCAGTTCTCCCAGTGCTGGCGGTGCTTCTCCCACCAGCAGCACCCACAGGGCTGGTGCCTCGGCCAGGGCCCCTCACCCCGAGCAAACCCCGGGGTCAAGGTCAGGAGCGATTTTACAAACCATGCCCAGTTTTCTCCCTTTCTGGAAAATCCTATTGCACATCATCCAGACGCCTCCTGGTGCCGGTGGGTCGCGGGTGCTGAGCTGGCTCTGCTCCCCCCATCCTGACCCTGGGGCAGGGGGACAGGGACAGGGCACCCCCATTTGGGATCAGCAGCTACCACGACCCGCTCTCCTACCTCCCGGAGCTCCTTGGCCACCTCCTTGAGCTCCTGTAAGATGCCTTCCAGTTGCCCGATCACCATTTTCATCCGGCTCCGGATCCTTTCCCGTTCACAATTACTCTTGCTGCTGCTACAATTGCTGCTGCTGCTGCTGGGGTGGTCACTGGGCTGCCTGTCCTGGCAGGTCTGGGAGTCCATCCTTCCCTACCAGCCTCGGTTCCCGGCCCCAACGGCTCTGTCCATCCTGCTCCCCCCTAGCCGGGTGGCCTGGCGTCCGCGCAGCCCCTCTCGGCCGGGGAGCTTTCAACATCTTAACGTTCCCCTGCCTCCAAGGAAGTCCCAGCCGCACGCTCGCCTCCCTGCGAGGTCGGGGGGCTCTGGTTCGGAGCGGGGAGCGGGGTCGGGATGCAGCATGCAGAGTCGGGAATGCTGCGGAGGGGACTCAGCCGGTGGCCGCGGGAAGGTGTGAGGTGGCCATGGGGTGAGCAGAGGGAGGAGGAGGAGGAGGAGGAAGAGGAGGAAGAGTCCCTTGGATGTCCCAGGAAGCTAAAATCCAATGGCTCACGCCTTGCCTGCTCCCCGACGCCGGGGAGGGGAATGCAGGGCTGAGTGTCCCCGGGGAGCGACGCTTCTCCCCACGTCGGGCCCTCGCTCCGGGGTCTGCGGCTCCAGCGCTGGGGGGTTGTGGTGGGGGGGTCTCCCAGCTGAGCACAGGTGTCCTGGGGAGACCAGGGTCCCCTCCTGCAAGGACAGACAGATAACGTGAGGGAGCCATCCCTTCTGGAGCCAGGAAGGTGGTGGTGGGGCTCTGCCCACTCCCACCTTGCCTTGATCTCAGCCCCGGCACGAGGACAAGCCCCCAGGTACCCCCAGAGCAGCTCCCCCTAATTGAGTGGGGACAGGACGGAGCCTGACGCTGTCCCCCTCCTTTTGCCCTCCCCGCTTCCCCACAGTTTGAGACCTGGAGAATGGGGGCACAGTGGGGTCTCGCAGAGCCAGATGGATGGATAGAGGGACAGACAGACAGGCAGCCGTGCGGCTCAGGAACTCACCGTCGCGATCCAGAACCTCCTTGGCTCCAGTCCAAGCTCGTCCTTGTCCTTTTTTTCCCCCCTTCTCCTTTCCTTACTTCCTCCCCCTCCTCCTCCTCTTTCTCCTCCCTCAGGGCTTTTCCGTGGCACAAGAGGAGTCCGGGGGCCACTTTCCTTCGGTTGCTGTTGGAAGGGGTGAGACGTTACCGGAGGTGACAGCCCGCCGGGGCGGGGGGACGGGGACACGCGTCCCGGGAGACTCATCTGCTTGCGGGGGGGTGTCGGGCAGCCTCCTCCCACCCGGGGCCCATCCCACCATCATTCTCCTCCCGGCTTGGTTCAAACCCCAACCCCGCCTCGGCCGAGCAGGGGGGAAAACCCACCTTGGCCCCAAATGTCCCCCCTTCCCCCGGGGAGGGGGAAAGCAGCACGGGCGGAGGCGGAGTGAGGTGGGGGGGGCGCGTCCCCTCAGCTCGGGGGTACGCACAGGGAGGGGGAGTCCCGGCATGCTCCCATCTCCATCCCCGGTACCCGCATCCTCCATCCCCCCTGCTCCCATCCTTCAGCCCTGGTACCCGCATCCTTCAGCCCTGGTACCCGCATCCTCCGGGGCGCCGGGGATGGAGGATGTCGGTATCCGCAGCTTCCATCCCCGCTACCTGCATCCTCCATCCCTGCCGCTCTCATCCTCCATCCCCGGAGCCCGCATCCTCCTTCCCCTCTCCCCGCATCCTCCATCCCCGGAGCCCGCGTCCTCCATCCCCGCTCCCCGCATCCAACTGCCCGCATCCCCTCCGCTCCTCCCTCCCTCTCTCCCTCCCTCTCCCCCTCTGCCCTCCCTCCGGTGCCCCCGCACCCCGCACCCCCGCGCAGTGCCCCCGGGACCGACCGGCGGCGGTGCGGCTCAGGGCCGGCGGTCCCCGGGCGCCGGGCGGCGGAGCGGGCGGGCGGCGCCCGGCGCCCCGGCAGAGCCATGGGGCGGGCGAGCGCGGGTGGGCGCCCCGGCCCCGGCCCGGCCGCAGCCTCCCCGCGGCTCCCGGTTCGCTCGCCCCGGCGGCTGCTGTGTCAGAGAAAGGGGCTGAGCCTCCGCCGGGCGGGGGGGGCTTAAAGGGACCGGGAGCCCCGTTGCACGGGGGGCGGCGCCGGGGGAAACTGAGGCAGCGCCGGGGGTCCCTTGCTGGGGAGGAAGGGAGTCGTGCCTCGGTTTCCCCGCTCTGTCCCCCCCGCTTCAAATAACAGGCTCGTTAAGGCTGGTTCCTTCTGAATGCAAAATGCCCCTCCCCTGGCCCTTGGGTCGTATTTGGGGCCAGTTTCTGCAGGATCTGTAAAAACCCACCAGGGATGCGGGAGCATCATCCCAGCAAAGATCCCTGGATGGGAGGAAAACAACAACTATGGGTTTGTACGTGAATGTGTGCGGGGGGAGGCGGGGGGCTGGTCTGGTCTAGGGAGGAACCCCAAGGAGGGGAGGGATTTGCTCCAAAGCGGTGATCCAGCCTGGGGAAATCCATCCAGTTCAGCAGCAGTGGGAGCAAGGAGAGATTCCTGTCCTGGAGCTGAGCGGTGACGATAGGTGGCAATCCCAGGTCTGCCAGCGGCGAGGCGGCGGGTGCGCATTTATGTTATTTATTGCCTCCTACTGGGAATGTTCAAAAGTGCTGAACACACTTTTTGGCGTGGACCCGAACTGACTCATCCTTCAGCTTGTGAAGAGCTGATGCTTTGGGGGCTCTTCTGATTCCCGCAGAACATCCCGGTGGGAATCCGGGGATGGCAGGAGTGCCAAGGTGTGTGGTGGGTGATGGCGAGCAGTCCCTCACTGCACAGATTTATTGGAATCATTTTTTCCAGGGTAATCATATGGGAAGTTTTCAGCAGGAATCTCCTCCAATATTTTGCACCTGAAGCTCAGCCAGGGACAACACGGCCACCTGGGTCCCCCATGGCCACCACATTCCCCCTGCTTCCCCCAATAGCAAGTCAATGCCAGCTCGAGCTCTGCCTCATCCCAGAAATCAGCAGGGATACTGGGACAGCGATCTGGGGAAAGAGTGGAGGTTGTAAAACTCAGGGAGAGGTGCTGCTTCTGGGAAGTCCAGTGGTGATGCGGGACCAGGTGGGAAAATACATTGAATGATGTGGGGCAGAGGAGCAGCTGAACACGCTCCCATGGGGGATAAAATGAGCGGCTGAGGTGTGGACTGAGGAGGAAACACAGCTCCATCCATGACCTGCTCTTCCCCTCTCCCAGCTGTGGTGGGCACCAGCAGCCCAGGGAGTTTTGGTCCCAGCCAGGTTGGTAAAAGATACTCAGAAATATCCATGGTCAGCACTGGAGAGTGTGGGTACTGCCCAAAAACCTCCTGTCCGTGGTGGTGGAGCTAAAGCAGCCAAAATGGCCCTGCAGGGATGTCCAGAGCCTCCAGTGTGGGGTCAGAGCCCCAAGCTGCATCTCCTACAACCTGAAATCCTCTGGACAGTGTCTTGAGGATGTGAAACAAAGGGATGCAGTGAGGGATGTCCCTCCCACCAAGGGGATGGAAAGGCTCAGCCTCTACGAGACACCTGACAAGCCAAGCCCACAGCACACCTCACCCTTCACTCCTGCTTTCCTTTGCTCCAAAGCCCTGGATGGACATTCCCATGCTTCCCCTCCTGCCTTGATCTTGCTGTGAATGCCACCGTGCCTCCAGCTGCTTGGTGGAGGAAGAATAGGAAGAAGGTGGAGTTTTCCTTTTAAAATTTATTTTCTGCTTCTATGTGCTGCTTTGCAAAGCCTGGATTCCCCCTCTGAAGAACCTGGAGAATGACACAGGATGCTTCTTCCCACCTGTGCATCACAGCCTGGATTTGGGAGTCATGGCCCACCCTGCTCTCAGCTCTCATCGCCCTTGTGACTGATCCATGTTCTCCATCTCCCTGCCAGATCCAATCCTGTCCCATGCCACCTTCCTCAGGGTTTCCCAGAGGATTTGGGGGGGATCCCCAAATGCTGCCCAGCCTTGGTACCCCACTGGTGGAGGTTTCCCCATGGGAAGGACACGGCTGGAGCGCGATGGGGAGAGAGGAGTGGCTTTATTCCCACCCCCTAATCTCTCTCCCTCCCTCATTCTCCAATCTTTATTTATGCTTTTTGTCAGATCTGATTTACTGGGGATTTTCCCGTTCCAACAGGAAAACTGCTGGGAGGGGATTTCTCTGCAAGGCTTTCGGGCTCACAGGCATTTTATTTGGCAGGGTCGTGCCAGGCTGGTTCTTGCAGGGTGGCTCTTGGCTCAGCAAGGCTTAACGTGGGACCCCCAAGGTGGGGGGTCCCCTCTGGCCCCCCAGACCCCCCTGGTGGCCCTGGCCTGGAGCTGGTCCCCATTGTCATGCTGCTGGCAGGTGCCCTTTGCTGCTGAGCTGCTGATGTATCGCTTCCCTGCCGTGACTCACTGGCACAGATCTAATTTCTAATTAAATAGCGATTCTTTCCAGAGCCATTTATTTCTGTTTCTTTTGTATTTTGATTGGAGTGTCAGTCAGTTTTTCACCAGTTTGTCAATTCCTCTTTCCCTGAAGATTAGCAAGGAGAGAGATGTGAGAATACAGAAATATGTGTTAGCAACGCCGAGCCCGGGAGCGCCTTGGGCCCCGGGAAAAACCTGAGGAGAACCACGGGGGGAAATCAAGGAGGAGACAGAAAATAATCCCAGAAAAAGCCTGTTGAGAGCAATGTTTCAAAATCTATTTTTTTTCCCCCCTCTCTATCACCCTTCCCTGGCAGACCCAAAAGTCCTATCCTGCTGCCTTCCGGGAGAAATCCCATGGGATGCTCACGGTGAACCAGCCTTCTCCTGGATGGACTTTATCCTTAGGTTAAAGGAAACATGGGATGTGAGAATTAACCTCTGAGACGTTCCCAAACCTTCATGCTCAGCACATGGTCTGGGGGGGAAGGGGCCTCCCCTCCCTGCTGGGGGTCTCAGCTCCCCCCAGGGCTGGGGGGAAAGCAAAATCCTCCCATCCACTGAGAATTAGGGATTTTTTGGTGAGATGGTCCTTGATGGGCTCTTGGGGAGAGGCTTAATCAATTCTTCACCAGAAGATCTTGGCAGCTCCAGCTCTGCCTGGTATGTGGGCATTGCCCTCAACACCACATTCCAGCTCAAAGCCACACCACAGAGGGCCCAAATCCCAAATTCCCTGTGTTGGCTCATCCCAGCGAGAGCAGCACCCCTGCATTTCAAATCCCAGCCTGGCCGTGGTGAGGGTGGGGAATAAAAACTGCCTCTGGTGCTGAGCAGTGATGGCTTTGCTGAGCCGACGTGCTCAGGCCACGTGTTGCAGCCGGGTGATTTCAGGTCGACTTGTTGCTTTTAAGCGGGTAGGAAGGAAAAAAAGCCTATTAAAGTGGAGTGACAGCACGGGCGTGACCTGTAAAACCATCGGCTCCGGGGGGGAACGGGACCCGGGGAAATCCACAACTGCTTTCCAAAGAGGCTTGGAAAATTACAGACTGCTCCTACCCTGAGAAAATGGTTATATTTTAATTAGTTTGTGTGTCTGGGTGGAAAATGTTGTGTCCCACCACGTGGGGCTCTTGGCCTGTGATAGGCTGGCTTGTATAAAACACTGGAGGAAATCACGACCCCATCCCAAAAAACTCCAAAGGCACCCAACCTCCCTCCCCAGGTGGGATGTATTTGGGCTAAAAGCCCTGGGAAGGGCGGGAGCATCAGCATCGAAGATTTCAAGGGGGCTCAGTGTCTATTTAAAGGGCTCAGAGGGAGGGGGTTCTTTCTGGAGCTGGGGATTTTGGCAAGGGGAGGTTGTCTCTGTGGAAGCTGTGGAGGAGCTGGTACGGGTGAGTAGGGAAGAACCCCAAAATGGGGCTCTTCTCCCCAGGATTTTGTCCTTTGGGATTCTCTCCTCATTTCCTAATTCTTCAGAGCTGTGAGGTTTGGGCTGTTTGGAGCTGCTTTAATGAAGATTTTTGATGTTAGTGGAGTCTCTGGCTGCTGCAAGGCTGGGATGGGGATGGATTTGGGGTTCTTTCCATGGCCAGGGCAGCTAAAAACCAGGTGGAAATGCTGCTCTTCTCCTTAATATTAGAAAAACTCAGTCTCAGATGGAGACACCCACTGTGGGATTAATCCCTCAGTTGGATGGCTGGAGCTGGGAGCGTCCTGTCACAGTCAGTGGGTCTGGGTGTCTCCGGGTTCAGGCAGACAGATCCAATCCCTTGTGGCAGGAAAAATCGATGTGGCTTCGTGCCCTCATTAATTCCTCATCGGGGCCAGTGCTGGGTTTGCATTGAAGTATGAAATGAAGTGGGCAGGGAGGAGGGAGAGCAAATATTAACGTTCTTAATGGCCTTTTGTTTTACCAGCAAACCCACTATTAATCACCTCGGCGAGGGGAGCAGAGTCTCCTCAGGGATGGCTTATCCCTGCAAATGGCACTGGGAATCAGGAGGGGAGACCTCAGAGCAGCTGTGCTGGTGTTGGAGCAGGGAGTGACTGTGAGGTCTGGGGGTGCCCTAAAAGGGCAGCCTTAAAAATGCACACTTTTGGCTTGGCTGGAGAGGTCGAGGTGCCTGCTGGAGGGGAAGATGCTCCAGTGGAGACTAAAATCTCCTGGATGATGCTTCCTGTGGAGCTGGCAGGTGGCACCAATGCTCCGTGCCTCAGTTTCCCTTTGCTCTCTGTGCTTGGGCTCAAAGTGCTCCAGGAGGGCAAGGAAGGGATTTGGAGCCTGGTGGGCAGCAGGA